GGGGACACGGCGTTGGCGAGGGGACGTCTGGGTGTCACCACCCCCCTCTGGTGGCCCGTCCTCACCCTCAAACATGAAGGTGTTGGCCTCGGCCGAGATGTCCTCGTCCGAAAGGGCATTGCCGTCCTCATCCTGCAGGGGTGAGCGGGGCTGACAAGGGCGGCCCCGTGGCCACTAGTCTGTGGCCAACTGTCCCCATGGCCACCATGATCCTCTTGGCCACCACCATCCCCCTATGGCCACCACCATTCCCTTGGGCCTCCACCAAGCCACTGTGGCCCCCAACCTATGACCAACCATCCCCATGGCCCCCATCCTCCTCCTACAGCCACCACCCTATGGCCAACAGTCCCTATGGCCACCACCATCTCCTTGGGCCACCACCATCCCCCTATGGCCACCATCATCCCCTTGGGCCACCATCATCCTCCTATGGCCACCACCATCCCCTTGGGCCACCACCATCCTCCTACGGCCACCACCCAATGACCAACTTTCCCTATGGCCACCACCCTACAGCCAACATTTCCCATGGCCACCACCATCCTCCTATAACCACCACCCCATGGCCAACTTTCCCTATGGCCACCACCACCCCCTTGGCCACCACAATGCCCCTACGGCCACCACCCTATGGCCAACCTTTCCCATGGCCACCATGAACCCCATGATCACCACCATCCCCTTGGCCACCATCATCTCCCTATGGTCGCCACCCTACAGACAACGTTTCCCATGGCCACCACCATCCTCCTACGGCCACCACCCCATGGCCAACTGTCTCTATGGCCACCTCCATCCCCTTGGGCCACCACCATGCCCCTATGGCCACCACCCTATGGCAAACATTCCCCATGGCAACCACCATCCTGTTGGCCACCACCATCCCACTACGGCCACCACTCTATGGCCAACCTTCCCCACGGCCACCACCAAGCCTCTATGGCCACCACCCTATGGCCAATCTTCCCCATGGCCACCACGATCCCCATGGCCACCACCATCCTCCTATGGCCACCACCATACAGCAAACCTTCCCCTTGGCCACCACCACGCTGCTATGGCCACCACCCTATGGGCAACTGTCCCTATGGTCACCAACATTCCCTGGGCCACCACCATCCCCTTGAGCCACCAACAAGCCACTATGGCCCCCAACCTATGACCAACTGTCCCCATGGCCACCACCATCCCCTTGGGCCACCACCATCGCCCTATTGCCACTATCCCACTACAGCCACCATCGTATAGCCAACCTTCACCATGGCCACCACCATCCTGTTGGCTACCACCCTATGGCCAACATTCCCATGGCCAAAACCATCCCCTTGGGCCACCACCATGCCTCTATGATCACCACCCTTTGGCCAACATTCCCATGGCCACCATCATCCTCCTATGGCCACCACCCCATGGCCAACTTTCCCTATGGCCATGACCTTCCCCATGGCCACCACCATTGCCCTATGGCCACCACTCTATGATCAACCATCCCTTTGGCCACCACCATCCCCCTATGGTCAAACTTCCCCATGGCCACCACCATCCTGTTGCCCACCACCATCGCCCTATGGCCACCACCCTATGACCAACTGGCCCCATGGCCACCACCATCCCCTTGGGCCACCACCATCGCCCTATTGCCACTATCCCACTACAGCCACCATCGTATAGCCAACCTTCACCATGGCCACCACCATCCTGTTGGCTACCACCCC